GGCTTGGCCAGTGATCCAGGGGCAGTCTTTCTCCTGTGCTCCGTCTTCACCGCTCGCAGCAGCAGCTGCTCCGTACATGGGGGAGGGACAACCTTTGGCATCCCACCACTCAGGTGGAGAAGACGCCTGCGGGAGCTTGAGGGAGATGAGGAAGGTCCAACTTTGCAGTGTGATCCGGGCCGTGGCAACTGCTCTGCTTCTTAGAAGTCATCCCTTCCCACCCCACCCCCGATGCTGCTCCTGCTGGCCCCGAATCTCTCCTGCAGTGGTTCCAGATGTTCCTGTTTCATGGCGTCATAGCTTTCCCTCCCCAGGCCACTCTTTCCATGGAAGTATTCTTAGCTGTGGGGCTCTGATAGGCAGAGGGGGAGTAGGTGCGTGAAAGCCAAAGCCGGGTCCCCTGCTCAGGCACCCCGATGTGGAAAGGAGGCCACTGTCCTCAGATCTGGCACCTGCAACCTGGAAGGACAGGGGCTGCCTCCTTACCTGCGGACGGTGATGGCTGAGGCGGAACCCCCCTTCAAAGCTGAGGTTTGCCACGGCAGAGGTGGGATCAGCCAGACCAGCCTGGAAAAAGACGAAGGACCCCCTGCCCACGCTCTAAAGTCTGGTGCCTCAGCCCTGCTATCACAACCAGTCAAGCGACTTCTGGACCCTTTCCGACTTCTGACTGGGCCACATTGGGTGGGGAGGCAGATGCCATGTTGCCCTTTTCCTGGAGGAAAGACTGCTGCATCCATAAGGCTTGGCGGGGGGGAGTGGCTGGCAGGGGCCCAGCTGGAGAAGCTCCTGGAAAGAGCCCCACCAAATGCCGGCACACCTCTCCCAAGGCGAGAGGGGAGGCGGGAGATTGCCTGGGAACAGGCGACCCCCACTGAGGAGGATGGTGGTTTCCAGGCAAAGGGCACAGGGCATGCCCAAGTTCTGAAGCCGTGCCCTTCTTGGCCAGCGCTGCCTCGGTTCCCTGCTCCCCTGCTGCTGGCAGCCAAGCACCCCTCTGCTTCCCCTGGGCTTTATGTTGGGGGGGGGACTGGCTTTCTGCCTTTTCAGGTTTTTGTCTCTCCCGCCCCCCACCTTCCCCATACATATGCAGACGTGCCATTTTCTTAAAGGGCCCGGATAGCCGTAGAGCTTTCTGATGTCTTTTTGCCTCAAGCATGAGGCTGGAAATCGCCCTCGCTGGGCTCCACCTCCTACTTCCTCTCTCTCTGCCGGGCATCTCTGCTAACCTTAACCCAAGCAGGGTATAAAATGATACCTCCCGCGTAACTTGCCTTCCAATAACATCCGTGCGAACAACCAAAATCAAAGGAACAGAAACGCTGTGCTTACCACAGTCTACCAGGATCAACATGTCTGTTCACAGCAGACGGTTCTGTGGATTCCTATTCAGAGGGATGGAGCAGAGGACTGGGGAAAGGCCCTTCCAGGCACTTGCTGAAGAGTTTCCCCCCTCCCCACATTTTCTTTCTCTGATGTTTGGATGCCACTCAGCCTTGAAAATGTTCAGGTGCCAGAGGGCACCCTGTCCCAAGCAACTGTGGGCGGGGGCTGCTCCACAGCCAGCCTGGCCTGGTTGCTTCCTGCCAGAGAGGAGGATCCCTCGGGGCCCGGGCACTGCTGCCGAGCCCTTTGCCTGGGTTGGGGCCCCCGTGTTACAGTTCCTTCTTTTAAAAGTCTGGCTTTTTATCATCAGAAAGGGAAGGCAAGGAGCAGCTCCAGAAAATACGCGAGGTTGGTTGTAAAGAGGCATCAGTATCGGCTGGATTCACACTCTGCTAGCCCAGGATTTTTAAGCCTAGATTTATTCAAGATGCCAGAACAAAGTAGCATGTCTTAGCAGGATGTGCAACTTCCTTGAAAAATGTGAGCAGTCATGTTGGGGTTATTTCTTTGCCTCCTTGGGAAGCAGCCAAGGATTTCATCAGGGAGGGTGCCATAGCAGAGGAACCCCTGGGCAGTTCATGAAAGGCTGAGTCAGTAGCCCACTGGAGCTGGGAGAAGGTGGGACAGAAGGACTGGCCAGGGCCGCCTGGTCCTCAGGGCCTTCTGCCACAGCCCGCTGCTAGCCCTGAGTACAGACACAGATCAGGTACAGAAGACTAAAGGGATGAGTAGTTTGTAGGAACTCAGCCCTCACCACCTGAAGGTGCAATGTGTTTTGCTTGCTTCAACCGAGTGGTGTTGCTCGCCTGGAGTCCAGCAGGTCGTGTGTACCCAGGGCTGGGGGCAGAGAGGACACGGTGTGTGTGCGCGCCATAGCTGGTCATTGAGGAATGTCTTTGGCCCCCAAGTCTGCACGTTTCTCAGTTAACGCTATCGTTTCTCAAGAGTAATATCCCATTTGTTTCCTGGGGGCTGGAGGAGTGACAGGATCAACAATACTTAGAACAATCCTAAAATCCATATAAATAAGAAAGTAATCAACCATAGTGTCTAAAAAGACAAACAAGAAGAACTCTAAAATTATTTATTCAAATGCCTTCTTGGAGCCCAGCTGTTACACACTGCCCAAAAGGGCTGGGGCCTGGGTCCCAGCCAGAAAAAATATGGCTGGCAAAATAATTCCCAAAGGAAGTGTGATTATGGGAAAAGTCCAGAGCTCATGGCTGCCTTCCACGGCTTCAGTGGGCCAGGAGGGAGAGAGTCTGCAGTCCCACCCCAGATGCGGAATGGCGCTTGTGGGGATGAATTAGGTCTTGAAAGGTGAAAACAAACAGTTTGAATGGAGCCAGGAAACCCAACAGCAGCTGGGCTGGGACCCCTCGGCTGAAAGAGGCCAGAGGATCCAAACGTCAAATTCTTGCTTGTTAGTTTGCTGTCAATGTTTGCACTGGCATATTTCTAGGGCAGCCCTGTGTAGAGCATGTCGCAGTAGTCTAGGCTGGAGGTTGCTGGGAGGAAAGATCCCCTGAAGCCAGGAGGGGTCTTGGCAGCTCAGGGCAGCCTGTCCCAGCCCTTCCCTACAGGGCTCGTCAAAAAAGAATGGAGGCGCAGCAGCCTGGCCATGCCTTACCCCCCGGGTCCTCCACCTGGCCAGGCCTTTGGCCTCTCTCTGGCCGCAGGGATGTGCATCGCACATTAGTGCTTTCGAGCACCCTCCTGACAGGCTGGAGGACTGCCCGGCTGTCCACAGTTGTGCCTGGAAATGCCTAGTGGGTGACTGTCCATGTGGCCTGCTTGCTGCCGGCCAATGTGCCCTGACCTGAAGAAGGCAGGTATGCAAGAGGGTGCATTTGGCATGGTGTGACAAGAGTGTCTGCCTGGGATCCTGCATATCAGGCAAGGAGCTGCTGTTTCTGGCTCCCTTTGTGCCAGATTTTAAGAGCAGAGTGGGCAGGAGGAGAGAGTAGCCTGAGAGGCTGACCAGATTAACACAGCAGGGACTTTCAGCTGTGCCCTTCATGTGACAAGCAGTGATCTTTGCAAGTGGGCCAATCCATATGCTCCGGAAAGGAGTTCACCATGGCAGACGGCATCTGGAGGGCACTGGATTTGGAAAGGACGACGCAAGGGGGTCCTGGGCTCTCTGCTGATCTCTTCCTCCCCATTCCCTCCCCTGTGCTCAGAAACTCTTCTCCTTGAGAAGAAAAGTTTCAGTTGAGGATGTGGCAGGGCCAGACCATTAAGGTGACCTTGGGCTTAGAAGACCAGGCTGCTCGGTGCAGTGGTCATGCCCCCATCTGCATTCCCACTGCAAGTGGAATGGAAGTGCAAATGGGAGGAGGCCACCAAGGGCTTCCTCCTTTCCCTTCTGTCTCTGGCCCCTCTAATACACTTTCTCCATCCTGCAGTCCTGTGTCCCCTCATCTGCCAAAACGGGGGAGTCTGCCTCAAGAAGGACCAATGTCTCTGCCCCCCCACCTGGACTGGCAAGTTCTGCCACATCCCGGCCTTTCCTCACCCCAGCCAGGGACAAGCCCCTGCTCGCCGTGGAATTGAGGGAGAGCCGGAGGACAGAAGGCAGTCCGTACACACCCTCCCCATTGCCAACCATCGCTACGAGCGAGACGGTAAGGAGGCATGGGGTGGGTGCGGGTGGGAGTCAGAGTAAGAAAGGAAAGAACTACGAAGATGGGAAACGGCTGGCTGTCGCGAGGACACTGGAGCGCTTTGCCTGCAGCAAGGCTGTGAAAGATGGGCGGGTTCCTTGCAGGAACGTTCCAGGAGAGGACAGAAAGACAGGGCTACCCCGTCTTCCCCATTTGCCACTGTGGAATAAAGCACATCATTGCCAGGGCGGTTGAGAGCTGGACCTGTGGGTTAAAGGGATGGAAGGGTTTGAGAGAAGAAAGGGGGTCTCTCACATCTGCCTGTCCCATCAGGACCGGCAGGAGAGGCACATTATGGGTCCCATCTGCGAGAGGGTGTCATCTGGCGGGACCCAGGAAGGGCACCTTTTCTGCCATGACACCCACCCTGCAGAGCATCATCCCCTCCCTCAGACCTCCGATTGACCCCCCCCACCGGCCTTTAGGAAGGCCCCAAAGGCCCAGCTCTGCTGCTGTGCCCCAGGCACAGCAACTGAGCTGACGTAGAATGAATTCTGCTGCTGATCTGATTTTCTGTTTTTGAAATTGATTGTGGACAGTTTTTATATTCGTATATCGGTTTTTAGCTTGCTTTTATTGGTTTGTTTTTACCTGTTGCGAGCCAGCCAGAGTCACTTAGATGAGACGGGCAGCCGTACAAATTGAATACGTCGTAATAATAACAACGGCAGCAGCAACTCACGGGCCTTGGGCAGGAGAGGCAGGTCCGAGCTAACCGGGGAGCTGGCACCGCTGGCAGCGCGGCAGGGCGGCGCAGCTGGCCCCTAGCGTCCTTCCCGGAGCGCCTTTCCTGGGCCCTGGGGTGTGGGGCCCAGAGCCAAC